CACTAACTCCCTGCTCAACGCACTGAGACTTGAATGTTCCTTAATAGCTGCATTTATCTGAGAAAGTGGCAAAGACACTAAGCTTAAAGCTTTTACTTACTGCCCTGACTCACTTCCCCTGTGAATGTACTCCCTCTAATATGTAAGTGGTTTAGTGCTGTATTATGGCTACGTCTAACTTAGGAGATAAATAGGCAGGCCAAGTAATGTAGTACTGTTATGGTACAGCTACTTCTGACTTGAGTTGAGAGAAGCAGTCTTGAGAAACATCTGAAGTACACCTGGCCTGGCGACAGAAGGACACAGGCTCATGTATCATAGAAAGTGAAGGACAGGAGCTCATACATCAAAGGAGGTACCCTAAGACAGATGTTCCTTTGAAGATTAAACTTGTCTGAAAGGGAGGGGGCAGCCTTGCCCCAGGGTGTACATCCCATGGCATTGTAAGCTATAGATTTTACTTCCAATCAGGAAGGCTAGTACACTAAAAAGAAAACTGTACTGCAGGAGTATTTAAAAATGGTACAAGAACAGACAAGGCAGTCTTGGAGATTGTAGCCTGCTGACTTTCCAGATTCATTAATAAAACACACTGGCCCTTTCCTTGCCTCCGTGATTGACTACAGCCAGCCAGTTCAGCTGCACAACCGCTGATTCCCAGGAACCTACAGTGGCTCGTCCCACTTCCCACTTTTATAACCTGGCCTCAACCTCTCTCTGCAGCCTTCACCTCCCACCACACCCTGCAAGCATTCCATGTAGCCACAGCCTCAACACTGAACAAACTTGCCCCGCACTCAGTGCTCCTAACCTTACCCCAGTACTGTTGACCGACAACTCTACCTGAAATAACCTTCATTCATCCTCAATCTCCAACCACCATCATAAACCTGGTCTGGTTAACCCCAAATTATACTTTCTAGACCCAGCTCAAATGTCACCTTCTCCCAGAAGCTGTCCACAGTACTACTGCCTCTGGCCCTTGTGGAATTAGGCAATTATCCTCTGTACTTCCAGAACGCATCTACTTGATAACTTTCAGTGGGAAACAGAACCAGGAAGAAAGTGTATGGGCACAAACTCTGAACATTCAGACGTTAAGGAGTCTGGGAGGCCAGGGATCCCGTGGAGGCAACCTTCACGTTTGTGGGTTAGAGATGCATCCCCCTCACCTCCTAAGTAAAAGTCATTCCCTTCAATGTCCCCCCATAATAATGCCAAATTTAAGGTACTGTTTGAAAACATATGGTCATTGACTACAGTCTTGAAGGTCAACAGCTTGAAGGCTATCTGCCATCAAAAGCAATCAGATTCCATTGTCTGTTCCACCCTAAGGGCCCCCTCCCTTCTGATAAGAATCAGAGATTGTTTTCTTGGAGAAGAATCCAGACACCTAAGGTCAAGCCAACTCAGATGCCTAAGGTTAGGCTGCTATCTTGACCCTAGAGCCCGCCCACCTAGTGATAGATGTACCTTCTTGTCACATGTATGCCGCCTCTAGTGCCTCCCCTAGCTCATCCCCCTGGTGTTACGTGTACACCTCCTGCACACTCCCTGCTGTTACGTATGAGTTTACGTGACTTGCCTGAGATGATATAAATCTGAGTGAACAAAGCACAGTCTCAATCTGGTCCCGGTCTCCGCTGAAAGAGGTGAGCCATTGCATGCTTTATCTTGTCTGATGTCTCTTTAATTTACCCAATTTGGAGGGAGGATGGGGAAAGGGGGGGGGAATGGAGCTGATACCAAAGGCTCAAGTAGAAAGCAAATATTTTGAAAATGAGGATGGCATCAAATGTACAAATGTGCTTGACACAATGTATGTATGTATGTATTTTGAAAGGAGCTATATGAATCCCCAATAAAATTATTTTTTAAATTTACCCCTCAACTACACAACTGCCTCTAGGACCCGTTTGGTTGTGGGGAGGCTGGCCCCCAACAGCTTTCCAGACTGGCTAAGGCTTATTTTTCCTCATAATTGTGTAGCTGTATAGTGGACACTCAATAAAGGAGGAGGAATGGAGAATCCTTTCCTGCGCCCAAAGCCCTGCCTCACTCCCTCGCCGTTGGGGCTTTCCCACTAGCACCCTCACTGCCTGAGCCAGGTCTCGGCTTCTCCACGCCTTCTGGTCTGGGGCCATCCAGTTTCTTCCCTGGGGGGTTCTGCCTTCATTACAAAGCAGAACCACAGAGGTGGAGGTGGGGTAAAAGGGAGATGACGTCAAGGAGTCCAAGCAAACAATGTTTGGAAACTGACTTTGGTAGCAATTATATTCTATTTGATGTGATTGAACTTTGGAATGATACGATCTATGTATCAAATCCCAACTAATAATAATAATCAGAGAAAAGAGGGGGTGCAAAACCACAAAAACAAAAGCAGAGCCAGATACCAGTGGCTTTCAGGACTCGAGGAACCTCTGAGGGACGGTAAGAGTTAATTAGGCATATCGTTGGGGGAGAATGAGGAAGAGAAGGGAGCCTTGGCCCTTTAGGGAGGTCACTCTGCACACTGTCCCTGAGCCAAGGACCGCCTTCTGACATCAGCAACAGCTGTAGGCCTCAGCCCTCTGGCTTCCCCTCCTTCCTCTTCCCCTCTCCGCCTGGCCAGAATTCTCCACAGGATGGCAACAGCGGGGCCTTGAACATTATCTGCTTGACCTGTTCCGTAATAACCACCTCCACTGTGGGTAGGCACACGTGTGCACGAGGGCTGAGGGTTCACGTGTCTCAAGTACACATGCAAGGAGAAGCCTGGTCGGTGGCACGTAGGCCTTCCCAGAACCCCCCTCTAGAGGCTCCTTCTAGTTCTCTATTTCTGACAGCCAGAGGGCCCAGGCACCGGCTGGAAACTCACAGCAAACCCGGAGACCTCGGTTCGTTCGGTCTTCTCTCAGACAGTGGAATGGACAGATTGTGTAACTCCATAGATTTTGCACCCCAATCTGCTTCCACAGTGGATCACTCAGCAGAGAAGGGGCAAAAGACTGCTCTGCAGATAGCCTGGAACTGAGTGCTAGCTAGGGCAGGGGTGTGTGGTGTGTGTGTGTGTTGTGTGTGTGTGTAGGGCAGGGGTGTGTGTGTTGTGTGTGTAGGGCAGGGGTGTGTGTGGTGTGTGTGTGTGTGTGTCTGTCTGTCTGTCTGAAAGTGGAATCGGACATGATGCCTGACTCAAGCAGATAATAATCCCACAGGGGACAAGCAGATACATATAAACCGTTAGATCAAGGCTATACCCCTCTAATGGTACTGGCATAGGATGTGAGTCAGAAAAACAAGACATTCCAGAGGGTTGGGGTTGTCAAGGAAGGCCTCCCAGAGGCACTCAATGGGCCTTAAGGACTGGGCTAGCAGATCCTACTCAGAAACCCAGCACCAGGGACTCCGTGGGTTCCTGGGCCCTTCCCACCCACTCCCTAGAGACTGAGTCAGGGGCTGCAGGCCTCGCTCTGCTCTGTGGGTTGCAGGAACAGGACCTGTCCCCGTCATCCTCTCTGGAGTGAGAGAGCAGGTGGGGACAGGCTACTTACTGCTCATTGTCAGCCTTCCCTCTGCCACCAGGCCTAGGAAGCTCTCACACACAGGAAGCAGGCCTTGGGCTGGGGGAACATCTAGTGTGATCCTCTAGACCCCCCCATAATACCTGCAGAGGGATCTGGCTTAAAAGCCACCTCAAGGTCATCCCTAAATGGAAAGCATTTCATCAGAGAGCTGCATGCCGCCCAGAAGAAGGACTCTGGTAACTGTAGAGCAGGCTCGGTTGCCTTGGAAATCTAAGAATCAAAAACCACACCCACTGCCACTGAGATGACCCCAACTCACAGTCAACATACAAGGTAGAGTAGAAGTGTTCCACAGGGTTTCCAACACTAAATCCTTGTGGGAGAAGCCTCATCTTTCTCCTGAGCAGGGGCTGCTGGCTTTGAACCACCAACATAATGATTAGCAGCCCAAAGCTTAACCCATTGCACAAGCAGAGGTCCTTGCTAGGCAAAATTCACTCCTCACTGCCATCAAGGTGCCTCTCTGTGGGTTTCCAAGACTGTAACTGTTTATAGAAGTAGAAAGTCCAGAGGCCAGTTGATTTGAACTGCCAACCATGCAGTTCGTAGCCCAATGCTTAATCGCTACACCACCAGGACTCAGGACCTCCAAAGTACCAAGACTAGAGTGAACATGCCTTACCCTGATCTCGCAACTGCCAGGTCCCACAGCACAACTAGTCCAATCTAGACTGTTGCGGGGAGAAGGAAGGTCAGGTCTCGTTCTTCAGTTCCCTCTCCAGTTCTATCCCAGGCTTTGAGCTTACAGGGCTGAACCAGCATTCAACCCTGAGGTTCCACCACCCTCGTCCCAGCCAAACCCACTAACAAGGAGTCACTACGAACCGACTCAGAAGGGGACTTCTCAAAAAGTGGTTCTGAGCCTGGGCAGCATTTCTCCCCCAAGTGTAGAGGTGTTGTCCACGAGATCACAGCCTCAGGATATATGTTAATGCACGTTTCTAAACCTCAGCTCCAGAGCTATCGAAGCCATCGGCTGAGCACGAGGGCTGGAAACGTGCATTGAACACTTAAGCATCCCAGGTACAAAGGAGTTGCGGTGGCGCAGCGGGTGAGGCACCAGCCGCCCGCAGGAGAAAGATGAGGCTGTCTGCTCCTACAAAGATTTAGTGTCTCAGAACCCCTAGGAATTGTGGGCCCCCAAACACTCCTTGAGAGCCATGGTACTAGGATATCTGCTTTCTTCTAAACTGCCTCCATCTCAGGGCTGTTTCTGCCCCCTCCGACTCCAACTTTCAAGTCTGGCACCAACCTCTCCACTCCTTTCTGCCTCAGCCCCTACGCATGCCCCGCCACCGGCCACGGCAGCCCAGTGAGGCAATCCCTCCATCCTTGACCCTGTCCTTTGCACAGTGAGTGATGGCTTTTTTTTTTATCTCCTGATGATGCACAGCCTTCAGCTGGGAGTATTTAAGGCGCAGAAGCTACTGGACACCCAGCCACAGCTGCAAGTCCCAGAGGCAGACCTTGGCAGACTCAGGACAGAGGACCACTCTTGGGAGTTAAAGCTAGAGCAGCCTCAGCAGCACCCCCGCCACTCCATCCCCCCCGCTGCTAGGAAGCAATGCTACTTGCAACATTTAAGCTCTGTGCTGGGAGCTCCTACAGATACATGCGCAACATGAAGGGTGAGTTCGTTTTCGTTTTCGTGATGGTGGTCAGGTCAGGAGCTCCTGAGCAAAGTGGTTTAATGGGAAAATAATTAAGTGGGAGTCAGGCCATCCCGTTCTGATCCCAGCGTTGTCTCTGTGTGGGTTAGCCTGGGCACGCACATCCCTTTCCTTCTGGGCCTGTTTCCCCAGCTGAAGAACCAGGCTGAACACCAAGTGCCTGTGTCCCTTCCAGAGTCTGTCACTTCTGGTCTCCCCTCCAGGCCTCCAGTCTCTCTTGAACTATTCCTGACTTTGCCTTCTTTGAGGGCAAGAGGTACCCAGGCAATGCCTTGACCACCAGTGGTAGAGGAAGATAAAAGCTTTGACTCCAACAAGCTTGAGACCTGGGCAGAGGAGAAAGAGGGGAAGGAGGACATTCGAAAAGCAAGATGAGAGAAAGTGGGCGGGAGTCAACATGAGTCGGGACTAGGCAAAAACCAGGCAACATATGCCAATTTTGTAGAATTCATCGGGACTACAAGGAATGTGAGCAGACCCCACTGCCACCTCAACAAGTCCTCACCTAAACCATCTAAACAAGTTTCTTTCCAAAGACTCTGGATTGAATTAACTCCCACTGACACAGAAGCCAAAGAAATGTTGGTTAGTGGCACGATGACATATTGTGCTGCTAACAAGATCAGCACCTATGACAAGCAAGTTAGTAGAGAATGGCATTTTTCTAAGCAGCCCCCTTAACCATTTCTTATCCTCCCTGCAGGGGTCAGGCACCAGGCAGTGCGGGCTATTGGGCAGGAGCTGAACCGGAGAGCACTTGGGGGGCCGGCCCCCAGCACATGGATTAACCAGGTCTGCCGCCGCCGGAGCTCTCTGCTTGGTAAGTGCTGATCCTTCGGCCAGTCAGGAGGCTCCTGGGGCCAAGTTGGACATGTGGCTCCAGTTTTTGTCTCCCTCCCCACCCCAGCAATTTTCCTGTCACTCACTCAATTTGGGAAGGCTAAAAGTAGAGTTCCTCAAGGCTAGCCGTCCTCCCTCCATCACCTGCCGCTGTTACCTTGACCTGCTGTCTGGTCCCTATCCAAGGCTTTGGTTTGGGGTCTTCAAAGGAAAGATTAGGTCGAGAGATCAAAGGGCTGGAAGGGGTAGGAAGAGAGGGGAGCTGGAGAACATGCAGTCTCCTTGGCTGTGTCCCCAGGTTCTCGGCTCGAGGAGACGCTCTACAGTGACCAGGAGCTGGCCTATATTCAGCAGGGTGAGGAGGCCATGCAGAAGGCCCTGGGCATCCTCAGTGACCAGGAGGGCTGGAAGAAGGAGAACCAGCAGGTAAGAGAGGTGGAGGAGCCCACAGCTCCTCAGTTCATGGCATCCAGGCCAGCTGGGACCCTTGGTCTTCTCAGATTCCTGCCTGGTCCGGCAGCCACCAGGCAGCGAGTGTTTCTAGCGTAAGAACTCTCCTTTCCCAAGAATATATCCCCAGCCACCACTTGCCACCCCGTCTGAATCAGCAAACCCACAGCAGCAGGATGGAGGGTCTGTGCTGGTCAGGCCACTGTGCGTGCGGCTGAACAATGCAGGGGAGGCCTGGGTTCAGCTCTGCAACAGGTGGCAGGGGTGAGGGGAGGTTTAGGGGTCCCTGCTCCTGAGAGCTCTACCAGCTGGCACTGGGAGATGGTACCAGGGTCCAGGAGAAAGACTAGTAGTTGTCACTTGAAACTGGTGGTTTTTGTGTTCTGCAAAAGCTCACACCAGCTGCTCATTACCCAAAATTCAGGTGAAATCTCTCCCAGCTCAAGGTCCCAGGGTGGTGGTGATGAAACTACAAAGTTTGAGGCAAGAAACGTGGGTGGGCTCTCGGTCCCCCTCTGCCCTTAGTTAGGGGCCTGAGCAAAACACTGAGCTCTCTGGGTTGCACATTCATCTTGTGTGAAACAAGTTATTAACTACCCAAATCCCAAAGAGCCCATCCAACATTCTATCTGTCAAATTCAGGGGCTGGACTCTTCCCACTCCCAGGTTCCCCTGTGGGACCTGTGAGCTTCTTGAGTCAAATAAGGGTTTTTTTCAATTGGACCTACTAAGCCCACAAACAAAAATAATAGATGGAGGAGCCTTTGTCTTCAGTAGGCATGGGAGAGCGTGGCAGGAGTGTCTCGTTTCCTCAGGCCCAACTAACCTAGAGACTGTGGCTCTCCCCTTCTGACCTTACTTGGTATTGCCTATGTGCCAACGTAGAGATTGTTCTTTCTAATCATTGTCTTGGGTCCCCTTTCTGTCTCTGACAGGCAAATGGAGACAAAGTGCTGAGTAAAGTGGTCCCAGATGTTGGCAAGGTATTTCGTTTGGAGGTGGTGGTGGACCAGCCCATGGAGAGGCTCTATGAAGAGCTTGTGGACCGCATGGAGGCCATGGGAGAGTGGAACCCCAATGTCAAGGAGATCAAGGTGAGGAGAGTCCAGGTGTGGGTGGCAAACTTAGGGAGTCCAGCTTGAGAGGTCAGCCAAAGAAACGACCCCATGAGGTGGGTGGTGCTTCAGTCCCAGTACTAAGTAGAGACTCTTGTTCCCTTATGGCCTGGTAGGTTCTTCAGAAGATTGGAAAAGATACAGTCATCACCCACGAACTGGCTGCAGAATCTGCAGGAAATCTCGTGGGGCCCCGTGACTTTGTGAGTGTGCGCTGTGCCAAGCGCCGAGGCTCCACCTGTGTGCTAGCTGGTATGGCCACACACTTTGAGGAGATGCCTGAGCAGAAAGGAGTCATCAGGTAATATGGACAGCAACCTCAATACTCCCTAACACAGTCCCATGGACATACACCTGTGTTCAAAGGCTTGAATTCCCCAGCTCCAAAATATCCACCCTTGATCGTCAAGGGCCCTACAAAGGAAGTAGATGCTTATTTTCCAAAGCAGGGGTAAAAGACCAAGATTGGCCATACCTTAGCCAGCCAGTTTACTGAGTCTCTAAAAAGAGTTGAAACTCAGAACTGCTGCCCTAGAGTCGATAATGACTTATGGCAACCCTGTAGGACCAGGTAGAACTGCCCGTGAGTTTCCAAACAGCTGACCTTGCAGATCGCAACTGAACGCATAACCACTGCACCACCAAGACTCTTCACACACACAGAAAGATCTTAATAATTTTCTAAAACAAGGGCAAGTTCAGAGTCCCATGGTATGTGTGCTCTGTGACTAGCAATTAAAACCTTGCAATCATTGATACCAATTAGAGCATAACAGCTACCTGCTGAAACTCTTTTCCTCACCTCCCCAAGACCTAGGGACCAAAAGGCCCAGCAAGGGGTCTCCAGGTTTCTGTTCCAGCTTACAACCATTATCCTGGACATCAATTCTATTTAGAGGGCAGGAATGTCAACATGCAAAATATCATCCTTGGCAGAGGGTGACATTTATCTGACATTTTAGATTAAGGCAATGTACTCTAGGAAAGGTGGCCTAACAGAGAACTCTTGTCTTCGATATACTGTGGTCTTCTTGATTTCTTTCTATTCATTTTCCAGAGCCGAGCATGGTCCCACTTGCATGGTGCTTCATCCCCTGGCTGGAAGTCCTTCAAAGACCAAACTCACTTGGTTACTCAGCATTGACCTCAAGGTGAGGGTATGGGAGGTGACCCAGAGTGTTAAGTGGTAGTGAGAAAAACAGGCTTCTTCCCTCGCTATACTACCACATGACGAACTGTAAGAATCCACTTTGATTTTCATAGAATCACAGACTGTTAAGAGAAGGACTTGAGTGGTGGCCTAGTTATTCCCCCATCTCAAAATCCTGCACATCAAATTTCAACTATTCAAGAAAACTCAGGCACAGGAATCTCGTAGGAAAGAGGGGAATCAACTTGCCCTGGGCCACACAATGGGGAGAATACAGGGTTGGAATTTGTCTTAACTACAAATCCTGTGCTTGCTTCTGAAATTAAGACAGCAGAATAGCAATGCAGTCCTGGACCCTGGTCAACTCTCAGGTTGCACCTGTAAACAAACTGAGAGACTGTCCCAGACAACCCTTAATTTTTGTGACAGAGGGCTGAGGGGTGTAGAGGAGATTATCACCCAAAGATGACCAAGCTCCCTTCTATTTCAGGGGTGGCTGCCAAAGACCATCATCAACCAGGTCCTATCACAGACTCAGGTGGATTTTGCCAACCACCTGCGCCACCGCTTGGAATCCAAGTTGGCCTCTGAAGCCAAGGGTTAAGATCAGCCTGCAAGACTGTTTTATGGTCCTCTTCTGGGAGAAGTGGGATGAGATTTCAGTGTTTAGAATATGACACGCTAGGGCTCAGACTGGAAAATATGAGGACCAATGGGATGCAGCTCTTGGGCAGAGCCTCATTATTTCATTCACTGTGAATGAAGGTTAAGACTCTCAAGTATTCACCGTGAATGAAGGTCAAGGCTAAGAATTCTGGCTCATTTGCTCACCTAAAAAGACCCTAAAATGCAACTTGCCTATATGAGTGCGGGGAATACTAGGACAGGGACTGGGACCTCTTGCTTTATGAGTTCAAGAACTTCGTTTGCTGCAGACAGACAGTATGTTTAGACAAATGGGATTTACAAAGGGGGAGGAAGCTCGTTATGTGAGCAATTCCCCTTAGTAAATACCGTCTAGAAATCCACTCCAAAGTTTTTCTATGAAAAAATAAAAACTACTTAGTACACTGGTTCCCACTTCTTCCATGAGTGTGTTGGTAAGAATAAAGACTCATAACTAACACAAATGCATTAGTCTTGAGCCTATTTTAAAAATTTACCTTGAAAAATTAAACCAATTCCTCTAGCTCATTAAAATTAAAGAAATTATTGGAGGTTTGTGCCATTCCATTACTTAGACTCTATTATCACATCTTTTCTAAATATTCAATTTCTATGTTAAGTATTAGCCTAAAATCAGTTCTTAATTCTACAACTGATAAGTCGATTAATAGGCATTAGAAGGTGGCGACTGGGGACTTTTACTTGCCTAATTAAAGGGAAGGATGATAGTGCATTAAAATAGAAAAAGAATAGTATTTCTAAGAAAATCCAAAGTAGACTTTATTATCTTTCCCGGCATACTGAATCTCGGGTCAGTCTATACTTCCACTTCTGGCTAGCAGTTTTATTACTTCAGACACTGAGTTGTATGAAACGGTCATAGCTATGCGCTCTTTGGGGGCTGCCAACTTTTCTAGTTACTAGACTAATATCTTGAGACAGGGCTGGGGAGGGGGGCGGGTGGAGGGAGAAGGGTAGTATGATAGCACATCTCCTTTATTCAGAAGCCTTATGCTTTAAAAGTACAAACTGAAATGACTTTGCTAAAATTTATGAGTAGGTTGAAGAGCCCTGGTGCTGGTACGGTGGCCTTGTGCTGCTAACTGTAACGGTTGGTGGTTCAAACCCACCAACCTCCCTTTGGGAGGGCCATCTGCCCTGTAAAGATTTAGTCTCTGAATCCTAAGGAGCAGTTTTACTCTGTGGTTATAAGTCAGAATCGATTTAATGGCCATGGGGTACCATCTGAAGCGCTTCCATTCTAGTTCAAATAGCATTGAGGGTTTCGTCATTTGGAAATAGGGCTCTAGCTTATTTATTAAACAAATTAGCGTTAACAGGAATACTGGTTATGTATCGAAGTACTGTAATTCTACAACTGAAAAAAGTATTTATTATTATTTATTCTGACTGTTTCTCCATTTAATTCTAGCATGGATGAACTTATAGTATATTTGAGAGTCTCAGAGTAAAAGAAAATAGTGGTAGAAGTATATCTAGAACATATTTATCATCCCCTCCCAGTTTAAAGAGAACGGTTAATGTTTTAAAGGAGCATACTGTACAATGTACAGGAACATATTGTGGTTTCAAAGACAACAGGCTGTAGGTAAAGAAATGGGCTTTCAAAAGAGATCATGATTTTGAACTGGATTATAATCTGCTTCTTCAAATTCTGTATCTGTTTTTTGTGGTATGCGTGGGCATATTTTCCATTTTAATTTTACATTAGAATAAAACAAGTTGTCACCATGACCTGTTTATAGAAACTACCTTATATATTTAGGACTATGGTGGTCTAATGGCGGTCAAATCCTCGCCTTCGGTGTGGGAGACCCAGGTTTAAATCTGAGTTACGCCCTCATGAGCAGCCACCACCACTTGCCTGAGGAGGTTTGGGTGTTTTCATGATTCTGAACAAGTCCCAGCAGAGCTTCCAGACTGTGATGGATGAGGGAGACTTCTGGCATCATCACCAAGGGGACCCCACCAAACTCACACCAATTCAAAAAGAGGTTTTATTTGGGAAGAGTTTCTACCTTTTTAAAGCTGCAAGCAAGTTCCTTCCACAAGTAAAGTTCTAGCTAGAGACCTAGTGGTTTCAGAGATACCAGTGTTCAAGTGTCTTTCCCAAAATCAGTAACAAAAACATACGGGCACCAAAAAGAAATAATTTTTAGATTAGTTTGGAATGTACAGCTACATTCATTGATTTCAGCCATTCTCAAAAATAAGCCAATAACTTCCTTGGAAGTCAGATGGGATAGTCAATATCCACAGAAGGAATATCTTTAAATAAGTTAGCTACTTATTCATGCCTTAGGAAACATAGGCAACAAAACCCAGCTGGCAGGGAACATAGTACAGCACCAAGTTCACAGGAAACTCAGAGGAGGGTGGAGTCAGCAGGTGTTGGCATATGGTACACAATGCAAGAGCATCACTGAGAGTGAGGAGAGAAGTTTCCCGTGGTTCCCAACTTCCTGGGCTTCTAACTTGCAAAAAGGAAAGGCTGTGTTCTGCAGCATCTTAGGGAGAACACTTAATGCTGTTCAAACAAGCCAAAACAAATAATAACAAAAGCACACCCAGTATCATTCTCCAGAAAGTCCATGTCAGAAAAGAGAGGGACCTGGTCAGGGTTCCCATGGGGGACTCCGCCTCCCATCCACTTCTGTTTCCACGTGATACAGGACATCAGCCAGAGTATGTTCTACCACAGCGCCCCAGCCCATGTCACTTATCTGCAGGAAGAACGAGACATGGGGTGAGTGAAACAGCCACAGCCAAGCAGTCACAAAGATACTGAGGGCAGGATGCTGACATTTCGAATGTTACTCACAGGGCGGTACGTGAGATCCTTTGGAGGATACTTGAAGCATGGCCCAAAGTTAATGGAAACCTGGGGTAAAGTTAATGCAAACAGAACAGACATGAAAAACACAAGAATAAAATGAAATAGTTCGATGTAACAACGATGAAAAATACAACTTTGCTCTAGTTCCTAAATGTTTCCTCCCCACTCCCACTACCATGACTCGAATTCGACCTTGCAAGTCTGGCTAGACCAGAGGATGTACACTGGTACAGATAGGAACTGAAAATCCAGGGAATCCAGGACGGATGAGCCCTACAGGACCAGTGGTGTGAGTGGCGAAACAGAGAGGGTAGAGGGAGAGTGGGTAGGAAAGAGGGAACCGATTACAAGGAACTAAGTGGGTGAAGGGAGACGTCGGACAGGGCAAGATATGACAAAATAACAATTAATAAACTATCGAGGGCTCATGAGGGAGGGGGGAGCGGGGAGGGAGGGGAAAAATGAGGACCTAATGCTGGGGGTTTAGGTGGAGAGAAAATGTTTTGAGAATGATGAGGGCAATGAATGTACAAATGCGCTTTACAAAATTGATGTGTATATGGATTGTGATAAGAGTTGTATGAGCCCCTAATAAAATGATTTTTTTTAAAATGAAATAGTTCATTCGTTTAACAGAGAAAACTTTTCTCTTTAAAGTGCAGTTGTGATATCCAGGGTATAACTGGAACATAGGATCAACCCCTTATTAGTTCTACCCCGCACCCCCAGGAGTTAGGTAAATAAAATACACTTGCATTGATTTGTTATAACCTATGCACTTTCTTATTTTACTGGCTTCACTGGTGACTATGACTAATACATGGAAACGTGCAAACAACCAATTTTCAATCCTTTAAAAAAAAAGCTAATGAAGATAATTTTTTTCTAATGGTTCATAGTTTAAAAACAACAACAGGCAAAAGTTATTAACCACCCATAAGTTACCATGAACTGGAGTTCTGGTGGCACAGTGGTTCCACGTTAGACTGCTAACTGAAAGGTCAATACTTCAAAACCACCAACTGCTCCATGGGAGCGAGACAAGGCTTTCCACTCTTACAGTTATAATCTCAGAAACCCACTGGGGTAGTTCGAGCCTGTCTTCTAACAGGGCTGCTCTGAGTCGGAACTGACTTGGAGGGCTTTATCAAGGCCTATCATGAATGCGTCTATCTGATGTCCTTTTAAAATGCTATCTTTGCTCTACAGAGTGCAACAGAAATGTATAGCTCCAGTAAAGGCACAATCTTTAGGCACGAAAATGCTGCGCCAGTGCCCCAGCAACACATTCTCCTCTTGTTCTGAAGCCTATTCAGCGTTCTTTCTAGAACTCAAGCATTATTGCTGGTTCATCAAAACCACTCGCCCACTGCACTCCGGGCCTCCGGCTTTCACAGGCTGAGCAGGATACGTACCGTGCAGCTCTTATAGAGGGAGATAGCTGGGAAGTACACGCCCTCAAAAATATCTTTGTACGCCACACCTTGACTGACACCATTCTTATAAAATATTATCTGAAACAAAAAACACTCGTTTGACTTCAGGATTTATAAAGATCAAGGGGGGAAAAAATCAACTTGAAGAACCTTTTAGAAGTACTGGCATTATGCCAGACCACCGCTATAAAGTATCCCAAGAACATATAGTTTGTATAAGAAAAACACCTTGCAGCCATAAAATTTAATTTTTTATTTAGATTTTTTTCAATGTACTTTTACATGCACCATCTAGTCGGTCTTGGATTTTCTTATTTTCTGAAATATTTTGCATTTTAATCAAATAGCTCTCCATTTGATTATTCGTTATATTTATTAAAAAGTACACTTTCAGTGATTCCTTGGAATTATACCCATTCAAATCTATTTTTTGTTTCTTTTTCTTGCCTCAGCATTTTACTTCTGCCTCTTTCTACTTTGAAAGCATCTGGATCTTCTATCAGTTTCTGAATCTTCATTTTCTCTTTCCCTTAATTATCCTGAATGAACACACTTTTTTAATATCCAACTAGTGACTTCTGGAAAGGTCCCTTTGCTAAAGCAACTTCACTTCCTCTGATTCCTCTACCCAGCAACAGCCATTTTCTCTCTGGCTCTATCCCCCGTTTGTTAACTGTCTCCCTTTACAAGCGTTCCCTAAAAATAAGGGGAATGAAGTTATTTTTCCTACAGTCTGTCTATTACTGCCCCAGGTGATGCCCTGGCATCTTTCCAGCACAGAACTTTCATCCTCCCTTTCTCCTTGAGGTATCACTAAAGGAGTGCTATGGCCTTGGGCAGACATCTCCCAATGACCCTGGGAATAAGTAGCAAACACTAGAAAGTGCTGGGTGGACCACTATAGCATCTGGTGCTCAAGGTCACAGAGCAAGGTCTCATATTTCAGTGTTTTCCTCTGCTCTGGACACCACCCCTGATAAAGCATAAATAAATCTGCTTCCTCAATCTCTAGCTTTCACACTGTCTTTTCTGGCCCCTGAAGGGACTCAGAGCACGTCTCTTCGAGCAGCAGGCTGCAGAGTGACCCCTGTGTGAGCTCTGCTAGTCATGTGACCAGCGGATTCCTTCATTCCTCTGGGAGCATCACTTTTCCCCTTTCGGTACTGAGGGGCAGACCCGGCTGTCTCCAAGGCCTTTTAGTCCCGAGGCTGTGGCCATGACTCACCTCACTATGAGGAGTTTGCTTTAGGCTCTTCTCGGCTTTATCCACAAAGTCTTTTTCTTCAAAATACAAATAACTTTTGAACTTTATCAGAGCCTTGAAAATAAAAAGAGAAGGGGGGCGGAGGGGGAAGCATATTGAAGCATTAGTTACATCATAAAAAAATGTAAAAGCCAGATACACGTAAATAGCACCAAGTCCTTGGGCTCTATACCAGAAATTTGAAGTCTTTGTGGAATTCATGTTGCTAGACTTTGAATTACTATGGAATTCTCAAAAAAGGTCTAGATGGCACAGTCGTCAAAAGTTTTCTAAAAGGCACTTATTAAGAAAAATCAGGAGGAAACACATACATATAAATACACACTGTCACCACACAAAAATGTAAGGGTTTTTGGGGCGCGAAGCAGAATTAAAGATCCAATTGGTAAAGTTTAGAAGCAGGCTTTATTGAGAAGCTTGCGGACGGGTTCAGTAACTCACATATTGAGCTATGAAACTCACATGAAACCGCGCGAGGGGAATTTCTGGCTGCGTTTTTATATCCCCTGGTGGCAGGCACAGCTGCATACAGGGACTTCAAAGGGAAGCGCTCATTAATTTTATCTATAGGTCCGGGATGGGTGGAATAAACACATCTTCAAGGGATGCAGGGAAGTGGTCGTTAATCTTATCTATAGGTACCGGGGCAGGTGAAGTAAACATATCTTCAAAGAACATTCTTTCTCGGGAATATCTGGTTCTCAGAACTGGTGATTTTCAGCGAGGGGAGGGGAGGCCGAGGTGAGGGAGGCCCATGAGAGGTGAGTTCTGAGAACCAAGAAGGTGCCGGATTCAAAATGGAGTCCCTTGTGCCAAGACCAGGCAAAAAATATTCCCTAATAGAACTCATAGATTTCTCTCACCCCTGCACCAATAATTCCAATACGGGGGTGGGGAGGAGATACCACCAAGTTTATGAGGCTTAAAATTCCTTATTCTACAAAAACAATTCTGACGGTTCGGTGTGCAATCACTACTTAATTGCTCCATTTCCTGCTTCTCCACACGTAGTCCCTGGGTAACCACCTCGTCTAGCGGTGGTTAGTCCAGTCGTCCATCAGTAGTCCATCTAACGATCTACCCCCAGATAAATACATATTTTAAACATTTCCAATTTCTCAGCTCTTCAATCCATTGTTGCCAAGTGGATGCCATCTCATGACGATCCTGCAGGACAGAGTCAAGGTGCCCAGCTCACACTGACGGGCTTCCAAGGCTGTAAACAGTACTGAAGCCAATTGTCTCTCTTTCTCCAGAGCCTCCCGGTTTGTAAGCACTACACTGTTAAGGTGGTTTTTTTACCCCCCTAAGAATATAAGTGTACTAAGTGTGGTTAAAAAAAAAAGAAAAACAACACAAAAGAATAAAAGCTGAGTTTCTCTTTCTCTCACGACTCCCTCAAACTCTAGTCTCCATCACCAAAAGCAATCACAAGTCCAGTCTCCGAATACCCTGCTGATGAGTCTTAAAAAACGCAGAAACAGAAACACACCACACATCCAAAAGCAGCACACTCTACCTTCTCTTCTGTATCTTGAGTTTCTTACTCAGTAAGGTCTGTTGAGGATGGTTTCGCATCAGGATATAAGTAGTTTTTAAAAGCAGACCCCTGTATCCTGTTATATGACTGTATTTTCAACGAAGACCTTTGTTCTCTATAGAGCCAGGACTGGGCATGGTGAGGATGCAAGTGAACAGTGTGCCATCAGCAACATGGCTCTTAGCATCAGCACAAAGGTGAAGGAGTCACACGACTCAGGCTAAGGCTGTGACAATCTAGGTATGAAGATCAACCAATGGATCGTGGAAACGAGAGATAGTCTAGAAATAAACCTACACCTGCCTCGCCATTTAATTTTACCAAAATAATTCACTTTGTTTTTGACAAGAGATGATGGATTAAGTAGATAAGCACACGGAAACAAAACCTTTAGCCCTCAGTTTATACCATACACACAAAGTTAATTCAAGAGGATCGGAAACCTTAATGTAAAGCTAAAAATAATCATTCTCTCAAAGGAAAAAATAGGACAATATCTTCATGACTTGGAAATGAGCACATTTTTAAAAAATTCATAAAAAGCAAGGTGTTATAAAGGATTTAAAATTTCGGTCTATCAGAAAAGACCATTAAGAAATGAACAGGAAAGCGACAGACTAAAAGAAAAATACTAAAAAAAAAAAATAAATTCAGACCTTATAGAGACTTCCTGAAACTCAGTAACTAGAAAAAACAAAAAGGAAAGACATTCAAATAGAAATGTTATAATAGATAGACAACAAGCATGTTACTATTATCATTCATCATCAAAGAAGTGCTCAATGAAACCATAATGAGGTGCTACACACCAGAATGGCTAAAAAACCAGAAAATATGTGGGCAAAGATGTAGAATAAATAAACTCACACAGTATTGATGGGAATGGAAAGAGTCTGGCAATTTCTTGTGAAACTAAGCATATACCCACCCAATCATATTTTAGGTATTGACCCAAAAGAAAACAATTTTTCAAAAAGATTTTTATATGCCTATCCCTCACTCATTGCCACCAAATCCATGTCAACTCATAGTGACCCTGTGCGTTTCTGAGATTTTAACTTTATGGGAGTAGAAGCTCCATCATTCTACCTCAGAGAGGCTGGTGGTTTCAAACTGCTGACCTTGAGGTTAGCAACCCGAGGCATAACCATTGTGCCACATGGGCTCTCTTTACATGAACATACAAATACTTTGTTTAAATAACAGCCCCAAATTTTAAACAGATCAAGTGTTCATCAATAGGAGAATGGAAAATCTGTGGGATAATCATATAATGGAATTCTAATCATTAGTAAAAAACAAATTTTAGATATATGCAACAATATGGATGAAGTTGAAAATCATTATATCAATGATAAAAGCTGACTGGATAAGACTCCATTACTGTATAATTCCAGTTGTTTAAGTTTAAGAACGAGTAAATTAATCTACGGTGGGAAGAGAGAAATATGAATAGTGGTCCCCCTCTAGGAGGCTAACAGTGGGGGTTGATGAGGAAAAGGTGGGAGAGAACTTCTTGGGGTGACAGAGATGCAACGTTTCCTTAAAATGTGAGTCAAACATAAACTCAATGAATGTACACTAAAAATGTATACATTTAATGCAAATTGTGCATTAAAAGAAAAAACGAAACAGTATGGAACATGAGCTAATGATATGCAAACTGAAGTACACAGGGAGAAGTACATTATGCCAGTCCATTTATCTGAAACACACAAAGCAAGATGGCTAGAGAGATGGTTAGATAACACATTTATGTTAAGTGTAGGTGGTATGTCAGCACTTAAACAAAAATTTTTCGAATGCCATTTTGTTTGAAATTCTTCATAATAAAACACTGGAGAAAAACGGAACAGTGGCCAGCCCGGTAAGCACACAAGTAGGCCGTGACTGGTGGCACGGGCTGCCCAGGTCTTCAACCCCGGCAAGGCCTCAGAAAGGACAGACTTACCTTATCTTTATAAGTATCAGGCAGTGACTTGGCCGTCTCTGTGTCTTCAGGAAGACTGATATAAAACCCCAAGACATCCCCTTGTCCATAGCCCGAAGAGTAGTGTTTGCCAATAGACTGGTGGAATTTGGTTCCTTTTTTACTTCGCCAAGAATAGCTAAATTTATCGTAACCTAAGGGAGCCTGAAGGTTACCTGTCGCAATAAAAAGATACACAGGAAGCAAATTACCAGTGCAATCTGGGTTGCTAAGCGAAAAGATTCCACTCCTTAATTTGGGTCAATTTTATTAAATTGCCAAAGAATAATTTCTCATAAACAGAGAATAAAAATAAAAATATCCCAAGGAATTGCAAGCCAGCTAACCTGTCAGGAATTGATTTTTCTGTCCATAATCCTCTAAGCTCAGGAACTACACTTCTTTTTTTTAAAATTAATTACTTTAATTTAAATCATTTTATTGGGGGCTTGTACAGTTATCACAATCCATACATACATCCCTTGTGTCAAGCACATTTGTACATATGTTTCCATCATTTTCAAAACATTTTCTTTCTACTTGAGCCCTTGGTATCAGCTCATTTTCCTTCCTCCCCCATGAACCCTTGATAATTTATAAATTAATATGTTTTTTCACGTGGGACTATACTTCTATGTGCTGTACTGTTCATACCATGGCCCCAACTTACCTAAGGGCTGGGACCAGCCTAGTCGAGCAGCAGTGTCTGGGGGCATCTCATCCACGGTGATTTCAAAGTACCAGGAGCCTTTCCGTACCCCATGAGAGGCCCGCACCATAGAGTAGCCCTTCTCTCCAACCACAGTCAGTCGGTCATCAGAGATCTTCAGCTGTGGAGCTATAATGATGGAGATTAAAACAGCCCTGCAACTTATCTGAGATACATGGAGACAACTGCCACAAAACCACGAATCCCCATGCTACAGTAGAACAAAATTGAAAAATCAGATCAGGTCAGTTAAAAAAATCCACATAAATGGGGGGAACCGATTATAAGAATCTACATATAACCTCCTCCCTGGGGATGGACAACAGAAAAGTGGGTGAAAGAAGGTGTTGGACAGTGTAAGACAGGACAAAATAATAATTTATAAATTATAAAGGGTTCATGAGGGAGGGGGGAGCAGGGGGGAGGAGGAAAAATGAGGAGCTGATGCCAAGGGCTTAAGTGGAGAGCAAATGTTTTGAGAATGATGAGGGCAACGAATGTACAAATGTGCTTTACACAATTTATGTATGTATAGATTGTGATAAGAGTTGTATGAGGCCCCAATAAAATTATTAAAAAAATATATATATAGCCACTTAAGAGATGCACAAAGGAAAGGAAGAAAGCCATCAGACGACAGGTTAAAATGAATTGTACTGAATACTCCCTATAGCAACCAATTGTAATGTTTTTGGATCCTAATTTAAATAAACGACCTATTAAAAAATTAAAATAAATGACCTTTAATAATATTTAACTTTGAATCTGAAACAATTTCAGACTTTAAAAATATACAAGTTCCCAAATATCTACCATTCAGTTTCTTCAAATGTTAACATCATCTATAGCCATAGTAATTAGAAAACAGAAAATTAACACTGGTATAACACTATTAACTCATCTATTGATTGTATTCAGATTAAGCCACTGGTCTTTCCCCTGTACAGGATCCCATCCACCGCACTCAGGTGCTGTGCAGTCTCCTTAGTCTTACTCAGTCTGATTAGTTCCTCAGCCTTGGTCTTTCAGGGCACTCAGAACTGGCCACTTAATTTATAGGATGTGCCTCAATTATGTGTGTCTGATATTTGCTCATGACTTTTCACAAGGAGATCCCCAGGCTTGTCGTTCAAGGTAGCCAGACCATAGAGCCCAGCTGCTCAATTCCTCCAAACTCTCAAAACTGTGTGTCAATTTGTTGTACAGCAGTTGATAACTAGCATGAGGTGATTATACTAATTCTTACACACTTAAACACACACACGAGTGATGGCACCTTGACAACTTACTCAAATGGTTAAAAACAAACTTTGCTATTAAGTTTACTGTATACTTGAGATTGCTTTAAAATAAAAGGTTTAAAAAGTTCCAATACAGACTGATCACCAGTTTTTATTAAGCCTACAGGACACTACCCTACTGCTTCCTATGCCAGAGCTACGTATTGATTTCCAATCAGGTACTGTTAAGGGCTATGTTTTTTTCTCACATCTGCTGCTCCCCCAGTTACAGCTAGCAAGCATAGTTAAGCAAGAGAAGTCTTACTTCTTCATCTTCAAGTCACTTAAACTAACCCTACTTACTATCTAAACATAGGCACCACTAACATAAGCCAACAAGTCCACACAGAATAAATGTTAGATTCCTTTTATACCCGGGAGTACTTCACTTCCAAATGAGCATGACTGTGGGACACAGTGTTAGCGTGAAACCAAGAAAGAATGGGCTCTGAATGTCATCAAGATGTGGACCTGTTTGGAGCTGTCCATTCAAGCAACTGTAAAAAGATATTATTTTAAGCAATTGTGAAAATCTGAGGATGGACTGCCTATTAAATAATAGGGGAACCCTGGTGACATAGGGGTTCCACGCTGGGCAGCAGCTCACTGCTGAGCTGCTCAAAATCATCAGGTGCTCCATGGGAGAAAGACAAAGTTTCCCATCCACAGACAAGGACAGTTCTACACTGGAATCAGCTCAATGGCAATGAAGCTTTTAAAAATTATCTAAGAATTATTATTACCATAGTTAAGTATGATAATGGTGTAGTGGTTAACTTTTTAAATCTTCAAAAGACAGCTGATACATTATAGAAAATGTTGACAATAGATACCACAGAAAATGGGTAAAAATCCCTTATAAAGAACTCTTAAAATCCTAATAGAAAACTGGGAACTAAAATGCTTATGCAGACCATTTTAAGAGCTCCTAATGACATATGAGAAATGCTCACTATGTGGGGTGCTTGGCTGATTCTGTTGTGAAAGGGCTGCCAAATGCACTCAGCATGCAAGGAAGGCTCTTACTGGAAAGAATAAGCGAAGGTGCATTTTGACAGAGAATCTACCAGTAGGTCATTCTTCTGCTTACTGGATTACCCACTCCGCTTTCCAGAACTGCCTGAGTTCACTTTTGACTCTTCAGTGGATCTTCTTTTGGAATGATGCTTAGTACTCTGGCCATTGTTTTCACTATCTTTTGTACCACTTGGATAATGCCCCAGAAGTTGGGCCTATTCTGGTAAAACACTTCCCTCTTCAAAAGTGGAAATAAACCAGTGATCTAAAAATACTTTTGACTATGTCCTTAAAAGAGACAACAAGAGCCAGCACATGAGTGTTATATTAGTCTGGATATCTTTGGGCATTTTTAAGTCCCTTTGGATATTGTTTTAAATGAGAAATAAAAGGCAAAAAGAAAAATCCCCAAACTCAAAGATATGCAATTAAAACAAACAACAACCAATGAGATACCTTTTCTCAGCTATTCTACTGGTTGAAATGAAAATATAGGACACTATGTTCTGTTGAGATGGTACAATCCTCCAGAAGGGAAAGTTGGCTACAGTGAACAGCCTACACCTGCCCTTACCTTTAAGTCTGTCTAGTAATCCCACTCTAGAAATCCACTCCATCAAAAATCCATGCTTCGCTCTCTGACCCTGAGCTCCTTGCTGCTCACTCCCTGCTCAGTCCCCTCTCCCTTGTTCCCCTTCCCTCCTTCCCTTCCCCCCCTCTCCACATGGACCACCAAGCTGGGCT